ATTTATACTGAAAAGCATTTAAAGTGCTAGCATATATGTGCTAAGGTTTCCTTTTCTCATTCTTGTTTATTAGCTCATTAACTCTCAGGAAAAAAGGGAAGAGCAAAAAAGAATCAAATATTTCTATCAATTTTCCAGGGTTTTTTTTTTTCCTTGCTTGGAAAAAAAACAATCCAATACTATTTGAGAGCAAAAAACCACAGGCAAACATCCAACCTGTGGCAACTACTGGATAACCTTACCCTGACCCCAGCTTTAGCAAGCTATGAAGAATTTCTGAATGCTGCAGACAACAGTATTTTCTAAAGAGGAGTGAGAAGAATTAACTGAGCATGTGGATGGTTTGACACTCCTTCGTGTTTAATTACTGTAATTTGCATCGTGTCTGTCCTAACTGGGCAACAAACATGAATTATTTTTCTTGCTGGATAATGTTGTTGTTATTATTTTAGGGGCAAAGTAAAACATGGTATTTACAAACCTGAAAGCAACAAACATGCTCAGCTTTCAACAGACGGCACTGAATTTGTTAGTGCAACTTTTCCCCTTTTTGAAACCTAGCTAGGCAATTCTCATGAACACCCTGCAACCATCACTCTCCCACTTTTAGGTTATGCCAGAGAATCATTTTATAGCTGTAATTCTAATCAACATTACCTTAAGAAACGTAAAAGGTATCCATGGCTTTGTGCCATCCAGATAAAAGTCTAATATTGCAATCTATGCTTAAGGCAACAAATTGTAGATACAAATGGCATTTATAAACCGCTCATTCAGCTTTTAACAAACACTAAGTTTGCAATTTTTTTACTGGACTATAAACCAAAAAACACTGGAGTCTCCAAGTAAGCTTATTCTTTTCAACCTTCTAATTATAAAAAAAAAAAATAAATTTTGCTTTCACAAACATAAGTTCCTATTTCACCGTAACTAAACTGCAAGAGAATCCTCAGCAAAAATAGACGCATTTCCATCAGCTAGCATCACAAGGGCTCGTGACACAATTTCACTTTCGATGACAGTTTAAAGGGACTTTCCAAAACCAACCTGAATAAACAAACAGAGGTATTTCCCAAGGGCCATCCTGAATGCAAAAGGGAGTTTTTGTAACCTAAGTGTTTTCCTCTAAAGCCACTTAAACTTATATATGGCATAATCCAATTACAGAAATAAGGATCAAAAGCCAGATTTTTGATGGCAGGAGCAGCAGATTCTCTGAATGGCTTACAAATAAAGCAGTATGCATTAAACTTTACTAAAGACAAGGAAAGCTCCCTGGCACAACTATGGCACATCCCTCCACCGCAAAAGGAGGGTAAGACACTGAGCCAGCATCACATATATAACCACGAAGCAGCATGTCAACAGAAAGATGAAACCCCAAACACTACCAGCCCCAGCCCGGGAGCCGGTGGTGTCCGGAGGCCTCCCCATGCTCACATCTAGTCCATCCCTTACCACAAGAGCGCAAGTTAGGGTGTTACCGGGGGACTTTAACCACAGCCACGAAGGCACCACCCTTTCTAGGCGCCTCCAAACCACGGCGGCAGCGCAGCAGATGCAACCAGCCTCAGTTTCGGAGGGGGTACTCGGGAAGCTGCCAGGCCGAGTAGACATCTCGGGGAGAGAAAGAGAGGGAAGGAAGGGGCGTAGGGTGCTCCCAAGCCCAACGCTTAGACCCTCAGGCACCCACCTGCGCCCTGAGGCGGACGCCGGGCCTCAGAGCCCGAGCAGCCTCTGAGGGGAACTTGGGCTCTCACGCAACGGCTCCCGGCCGCCAGGGCTCGCCGAGGGCTGCCAAGGCCGGCCGGCCGCCCGCCCTGAAGCGAAGGAGCCGGCAGCAGCGGCCACCCCTCGAGCCCGAGCAACGGTCGGGTAGGCTGGGCTTGCGCTTCTCCTCGCCGCACCCTCCGCAGCGCTTACCTGCGCAGCTTCCGCTGGGGGGCTGGCCCTGCATACACGTCACACCCGCCGGTGGCTGCTGGGGAGAGGCAAGCTCCTACGGGAGCCCGAGAGGCCCAGGGGAGCGGAGCGGAGCGGGGCGGGGCGGGGCGGGGCGAAGGCGAGGCGGGAGCTCATCACGTGGTTGAAGCAGGGTCCCGCCCGCCATTTTAGGGTGTTGTCCTGAGCGGGGGGTGCGGTGGGGTTGTGTTTCTGTGGTCCTCGCTGCTGTTGTACTTGTGCTGTCTTACAGCTTGATTGTCCTCTGCGTGATGGGGCCCGAAGCGGCGCTCCCTTCCAGGAGGAGTTGGGACCTGGAGGAGGCTGAATGCCCTACAGTTGCTCCTCAGATGCTCCTCTCAATTTATGAGGCAAAGCTGTGACTGAAAGTGTTGAGGGAGTCTTTCCCAAAAGGCTGAGGTGCTGTGGAAGGTGCCAGGAAGGATTGATGTGTGATTTTCTTTGCTGTGCTCCTTGAGGGCAGCGGTGTCCAGGGTGAGCTTTTGTATGGGGCCTGGTGTTTCCCCTTCGGCAGTGGTTGACAGGTGCTTGCCTGTGGGACTGTCAAAAGTTAACTTGGTTTCATAGGCTGGGCTGGAAGAATACACGGTGTATGTGCAAGGCTGGTTCTAAACACCATCTCGAGGTGGTGCTGGAATATGACTTCTGGTTCTCATAATGCCCAAGAGCAGGAGTATGGTGCAAGGCTGTGCAGACATTTGGCTGTACACTGTAGGCTGCTCAATGTTGTATTTGTATATGAGGCCCTCAAAGGGTTGGGGCTTGTTTCTGGAATCTTTTTGGTGTCTGTAAAAAGATGTGTTCTTGCAGTGGGTTACAGCAGAAATAGTTAACTCATGTGGGGCTAATTCTTCTCTGTGACCAGCTGTCCCAGCAGTTGGAGGGATTGTATTCTAATTGCTCTGATATGTGACCAAAATCATTGCGTTGGAGTATTATTTGTTCCAGGATAGATAGGTCTGCAGGACTGTCCTTACATAAAACATTCTTCTTTAGGTAGTCATACAGACTAAGTGGGGGTACTGTCAACTGCAGCTTCGGTAATGGGAACCTCACAGGTATCATGAGCTTGTGAACAAGACACTGAACTAGAAATTCAGGATTCCAGGCTCCCCTGTGTGCATAAATGACTAGTCAAGTTTGCCCAGTAATAAAATAAGGGCACATTTGCTTTTATGACAATCCTGAGCTCAGTGTTTGAAACTTAGTAACTATGTAACTTAGAAACTATGGTAATAGAATGATAAAAGTTCCTGTCCCATAATCACCAAACATGAACAAGCTAACAGTAAAGGATTTCAAAAACTGGGACTTTATAATATTTGAAGTTTGTTGGTTTTTTTCCCTCATGTTTCCCTGTTTTATTTTACTGCAGCTGTTTTGGGGGAGAGGGGGGAAGTCTTGTTAGACAATGAGCCTGTGTAATTTTTCAGTCTCTTGAAGTGTAAGTATGGCAACTTTTGTCATAACCAAAACTACATCATTAACAAATAAAAATCTACTGAAGTTGTTTTTCATAATGTCCTTGGGAATAAAGTTGAAAGACTTCTCAGAAGGCAAAAGGCCTGCTCTTAACAAGTTCAGTCAGTATGAATCACAGTAATATGCTAGAGAAACCTCAGGAAAAGGACAAAGTATTTGTATGAAAGTGATCACAAAGCAGTTAAGTTACTTAGTCTATGCATAAACCTGCAATGAGTTTTAAATCAGCATATTCAAGGTCTGTGTTAAAGTAAGATAACAATGTAGCTATAATTGTTTATTAATGTCTCATGCCAACCCAGGAACAGAAATCAGCATCTGAGCTGGAAACTAGTCTGGGCAGGCCAGTTAACTGAAAACACTAGACACTCTGAAAAAAATCACAACGAACACCTGTTACCAAACCTATGTCTTCGTTTTGCTGCTTTTACTGAGGATGAGTGGAAAATTCTTCAGGCGTTACTGAGGCGTACTCATGGCTGTTGGTAATAGCTGGTGCTTTTCCGCACTGGTTTAAGGACTGTCACAGGAGATGAAGCGTTTGCCTGCTAGTGGTGGCTGGATCAGTATGGGATGCTACAGAGTTTGGGTCTGTAACGGGTGAGTGGCATAGTGAAAACAATGTTTCACCAAATGAAGCAAAATAGCATTATATTCCTTTTTTTTTTTTTTCTATTCTTGTGGACTTTACAAAGTACTGTGATACACTTACTGCCATGAGTCTTCTGCAATGGAAGCATGGGCTCTGACAGATCTGTGCATACATCTCCAGATGTAGTATTCTCCATCAATCACAACAAAAGCCAGTGGAATTGTAGGAAGAATTAATGGTTTGAAGAAATGTTGGGTGCAAAGCAAATGGTGTTCCTATTGGAAATGAATAATACTCTTATCTCTTTGACAATGTGCTTTTATTAGCACATTGGTGTCACTCTGTTTCCAAGATACCTTATGCTGACAAGAGCTGTGTCTAGAAGGACATAAACCACAGCTGAGCATCATCTTTTTTTTTTTTTTCTTCTCACATTTTGTGTGTGGATAGTGTGATTTTGAGATAAATGTGGTAACTGGGGTTGTGTGCTTGCAGACTTGCTTCCAGGGATCATGAAGAGCTTTGTGGGGCATCCGCCTGATCTTCATTTTGCTGTCCTTTCAAGGCTCAGATATGGAATGATTCAGAAGAGCCAGCACCCACAGAAGAGGGTTTCTTTCCTCTGAAGGTCTTGCAGGAGGGGAGACCGGCAATAACTACTCACTCTTAAAAACTTGCACATGTTTGCACTGCAGTTGAGCCACAGGAGAAGGTGTTAAATCCAATCTATGAAAAACAGGTGTAATCCTGCAGTTATATTTGTGTAGTTGAAATGGTTATACCCCCTTTTTGCACAAACAGTTGTAACAGCAGAAAGAGGCATAATGCTCTGGTAAGGAAGGTTTGTGAATATGTGGTACCAGGGAGCTAAGGAATTATTCCAGACTTTTTTTTCTAATTAAATACTGAGGATAGATGGGAACCAACAATATGTTTTATAAGATTTTATAAGAAAAAGGTGACATTTACTATTAAACCATTAATTTATTACCATTGAAACAATAGAAATGAGTGGGGATTCTCTTTGTTAATTTTAAAAATACACACATCAGAACCTATCTTCAATATCTTAAGGAAAGTGAGTGATGAAATCATACATCAGTTGCACCAATCACCTTCAATACTGTTTCATTTGTTACTTGTTTATTGTCTAAAGTAAATATTACTCTGCTGAAATTTATCCTGGTTGCTTCATCAGTAGTTCTACTAGTCTTTGCTATAGCTCTTTCAGGTATTTCAGATATTGATGTGATAAAATCTTAGTTTCTGGAATCAGTGACCTGAAAAGGAGGAGGAGAAAAAAAAGACAAAAAGAGATGAAATTGCTCTTGTATCTCAAGATTCAAGTAACAGAAGTGAGTATCTGTCGTTGCAGCCCAGCATCTTTGTAAGAACATTTCATTTTACATTGTACTATAAAACAACAGATTATGTAGTAAGGATCTTCTTTGGCTAGTAAAAGTAATAGGCCCTCAGCAAGTCAATCAGTGTAAGTAGGAAGGCTATTTTTCATTCAAGTTTTTTGCTAAGTCTTATGTATTACTGAATGTCTTCATTCTGAGACATATAATCCAAGCCTCTTTGCTGCTTCAGAAATTCTTGGCCCTTTTTTATTAGGGAAAGGGTAAAAGTTCAGTTTATTGCAGGCTGACGTGCATTTTGTAGGAGAAATGTGTTGATGTGTCCAAACTGCTGAAGTGGCTGATTTCGGAGGCTTTGGGCAGGTGCTTGAAATGCTGCTGCCATTCTGTTTACTGAAACTGTTCAACATGCTTGAACTTCTCAGTTGACTCGGTGCAGATAGTTCATTAGCTTCTTCTAATTCCTTGGGTTGTAGTGTGCTGTTTCCCTGTGAAATCAGTCTTTGTTTGTCAAAGTTACACAGTCCGTTCTTGCAGTGGGAGACATCCTGGGTAACTCCTTGATAAGGGGCTTGCACCAGATGGTGAATTCCCAGATGGGTATGCCATAGTGAGTTGTCTTGTGTGTTGCCACTGCTGGTCATCTCCAGTCTGACCTTTCTGACAGGAACATGCTCTGTAAATGACTTTGATCTCACTTTTTTATTAATTATAACAGTATTGACCATTGATTCTGAGATAACAGATTCATGTTCACCTACAAGAGAAATGCATTTATGCACGTTAGTATGGTGGCAGAAATCAAGGGTCTAATTTCTGTAGCATAAACTCAACTGAAGAGCTTTCACAGATGAATTTATCTATACTTTTCCCATCTGTGGCTGAGAATAGTGCAAGTTCTTTTGAATACCAGCTTATGGAGTAAGAATATTTCATGCTTGGTTTTGCAGTTCTAAGGACATAAATGGCACCTTAGGGTTAGGCAAGTAAAAATGGAGATTTATTGAGTCAATATTGATCTAACTGGTACTCTAAGACTCATTAACAACAGATTGAGAATTGACTTTCAGTAATTAATTGCTTGTAAGCAAAAGTTCTTAAGGTGAGTAGGGATTTGCTCAGTGTGTCGGTAAGTGCTGTAATTTGAAAGACAAAAATGTTTTGTTTGATACTGTTTGAAGCTTTAATAACAACCTAAAAATACTGTGACCAGTTTTAGGTAAAACAAGTTGTGAATGTTTTCCTTCTTTTTCTTAACGAGGGATCATTAATATCTAGGTGTGTATTTTAGTATTTTATTGCAATTTTATTATTGTTATAAGTATAAATGGTGTAATGTAAGTAGCTTATCACACTCTTGTTGCCTAAATGATCACTTAGAGGAAAAATCTGCCTGCTCCATGGATTGTATAGAGTAGCTGTAACAGTGGGAGAGAATCTGGTCTCTTATTTTTTTTCTTCAATGCCTGTAGCTTAATTTCTAACACAGTATGAAAGTAACTGTTAGAAATGTATAAGGTATTAGGGACAGAAATGGTAATGCTACTTTAATTACATGTAAATTAAATTTGCATCAAATTACTGAATATGACTGTTTTTCTGTGCCTTGAATAGAAGCCGAACAGCTACAGTTACACTAAAGCTAAACACTGCTGTTGGCATTGCAAGTACTCATGAAATATACCTGTTAGTGTAAATCTGTTTTCAAGTAGGAGTTGTGCAGAATGCTGACCCTTATTTACAGGCTTGAGTTGTAGGAACTGTGGCTGTTGCAGTAGGAGTTATGAAGCAAAGTGAAAAAAGTAGACATAGAACAGTGCTGATTATATTCCAAAACACAATATCTGGATAGCCATTTTAAAAGAACTGTAACCCTGAGTTTGGAATGAAGCTAGTTCAAATAGGATGCTGCCTTTAAACACCCTCCTCACACCCCCTCCCTCCCCCTGCCTTTATAGCTGTCTTTCATACCATCTTTACAAGGAAATATTTGAAGATCCAGCTAATTTACTGGCAATAAGTGAACCTGTACAACAGGAGGGGCTTTCATCACTGTCTTTGGGTCCCACTGATGAAGCAACACCACCAGCATAACAGAATTTTTACTGCTCCCTGGGTTGAGCACATAAGGTTGATGTAAGAGGTGCTCTGCAGCATGGCTCTGGGAGTGAGAATCGTGTCAACCTACATCTTCTGCTCTGTTGCAGTGTTACCAGGACAAAGGAGACTAAAGCACACTCAGAGCTTGGAGATACAGATGTGTGTATGTAACAGAAAAGTTAATCTTATTTCAAGTTAGCTTGGGAAATACTTGGAAGATTCCCAAGTCAGTCTCAGTGTTTATTCTCTCATGACTGCATGTGCTGAATGCTCCTATTTAATTCCTAAAGCAAATACTACTTTTTTTTTTTTTTTTTTTCAGCTTCTTAGTCAATAGATACTGAAGACACAGCTGTATAATCCCGTAGCTGGGAACTTTCAAATCTTGTCCTGCTCTTTGTTCTCAAATAAGCAGGAACAGGCAGAACCACGAATGTGTCTGTGTCTACTGGGGAAGGAACAGAAGAAAGTTGTTTTCAGGTGACTTCTCAATTACTAACCCACCAATCAAAATCCCAGAGAAGTTAGTGGATCTTAAATTCTGTTTAAGGGTCCACAACTTCATGACTCTGGCAAATAGGTAGTGACATACAAAGCTGAAAGTCCTCAAGAAAAGAGTTACCATTCCAGCTGCAGTGCAATAAATCTGAAATGCTCAAAATCCCTATGGTATCATGGCAGGACAGCTGGTCTGTCATGCAGGAACAAGACCTTTGGCAGGGATTTTTAAGACCGTAAGTACTGAAGCTGCCTTCTTTCCATGTGTCTGGCCTTTGAGGTTTGGATGTACGTGTGGGGTTGGGGTGGTACTATTGTCATCAATGCCCTTCGCAGCCTAGCCATGATTTAACCTCTAGGTAGGGAAACAATTTGCTATCAGTACAAAATACTGATACATACGTGGACTGCCTTTTGGTACTAGCTGGAGTTTCTGAATAGTTTAAGCTTGTAACTTTAAAGAGTGTAGGGCATGAGGCCATCCCAGTATGGCAGTGTTCATTTCTGCGTGACATATTCTTGAAAACAGATGCATGTAACAGGTTCAAAGTGCTGAGCTATGTAATAATTTTTCCCAACTTCCAAACCCTAGGAATGTGTAAGATCAACTTTCAGGACATTGAGCACTCAGCGTTATAAACCCCCTCAAACATAACTGCTTCTAACAGTAACATGAATCTTTTCCATGCGGGTTGTTTGAAGGTTAAAGTTGAGTGCAGTAGTTGTGAATGTTTTGGATTATGTGAATGAAAATATTTGTATGTGAACTTCCAGCTCTACTAAATTTTAAACTTCCCAGAAACTGTGCAGTCTCACTGTGTTATGTCTTTTCTTTAATCACCAAATGGTGTCCTTGCAAAAAAATCTCCTGATTACATTCATTATATTCAAAGCTTTAGTTGCATTTAATCTGAATCCAAACTTTTGCTTCCTTTTTTTAACCAACTTATTTTTTGCTATAGCTGATTAGATGGGCTGTTTTGTCTTCAAGTTAGTTGCCTTTTCATACCTGATACAATAAGCTTGTATATATATATATACGTATTTTTTATGCCTCACAGAGATTTAAATTCTTTAAACATAAGAATTGCTAGACATTTGAGTGAAAGAATGTTGAAAATATATCTGACATAGCAGGTAGATGAGTGATATATACCTTTAATTGTTTCCTATGTATGTAACTTCCAAGCAATTTTCAGTGAAGATACTTTAAAACCAGGACCTCTTGTTCAAAGCTTCTAAGAGTTACTCACTGTGACTCTTAGTTACTTTTTAACAAAAATCCAACTCGTGCTAGTTACTTGATACTTGTTTTTGTTTCCTGTAGTCTTGTAGGACACATTTCTTTACACAGACAAAAAAGGGGGAAGGAGACAAAAGACCCATAATTGCTTGTTCTGACAGAAGCATTGAAGAGAGCAGAAATGTTACAGAATAGATTGCACAAATACAGTGATGCTAGACATAAAGACATGGCTCCTGTAATAGTTAACATTTATGTTTAGAATTTTACTGACATAAAACCTGTAAAATCTTATCTCAAAAATTTTCATCTGTTTCAAATTCATGTTAGTGTTTCACCATCATGTATAAACATAAGACCACATTTCAGTGAAAAGAATGAAACCCCAAAATAACAGAAAAGGAATTCACTTAATACCTCTTTTGAAGCTAAGCATAAGAAGAACAAATCTAGGAGTTATTAAAGATTTAAAGAAACAGTCATTACATCTACATTGGCATTTTTTTCCCTATAAATATAAGCATACCTGTTTTAAAAACAATAACGTGTGATTGCAGTTTTTGCTTCTGTTTTATATGGTCATACTGCTCCTCAAGAAAGCTCACATCCATCTCTGTTGGCGGCTTATCACAATCTGAAGCCTGTTGCTCTGAGGTATGAGTCACTGAAAAAATACCAGTCATGTATTTGTAAGCCTTCACCATCTGCTCCAACAAGGAAGAAAAAGTCATGCAGAAGCAGGACATTTCCTTCATTGTGTTGGGAATAAGCAAATTGAGTATGAGACATCTGAATTCTTCATAAACGAAGAAGTAACTTTCTTGTAAGTGAGGTGACTTCTTTCAGAAGTTGCGTGGTCTGCTCTGAAGTTGTGGATTTCAGCCAGCTTGTTTTCATGTGGTGTGGCTGGAGCTACTGCACACAGAGTTCATGATTATAACTGAGCAATTTGGTTTAATGTTGACTTAAGGTTGTGAGCATATGAAACTTTGCCAAAAACCACAGTGAAATACAAAACCTCATTGAACACAGTCAGGTGCACAAAGGGCTGGGTAATACTGGTTTATTGTAGTAATGTGAATTCTTGAAGGGACGCTGTCATGGTGACCTCCCCAAGACAGTAATTCCACCGGGGAAATCTTTCATCAGGTTTCTTTCCATGTACTTTGTGTCTTTTCCTCTCCACTCTCCCTTCCTTAAATTTTATCCAGTTTCATTCTTTCCACGCATCTTGGGGCAATGGTGTGGGATGGAAGGATTTATTATACCTCAATTTTGTGCTTGTTGCTTCCTTTCAAAAATGTATTATATCAAATAAGGTACGAGACTGTGTCTGGACTATGAGCTGCAAGTTTCTGTCCCCAAAATAGGTCCATATGAGCCTGTTGCAAGGGCCCAAGAGAGTAGTATGTGAAAAAGTAATGCAATTAAACAGTAGTTTTAATATAATTGTACATCTGCTGGGTTCCTTGCAGTGGAAAGCATTGCATAAAAAAACACTGAAAGGGCAGAGTGTGGAAAGAATGCTGGTGTGCTGTATTTTTCCAGTTACTGTCAAAAATTATGATTTGCATCATAAATTATTTACTGACTCAGGCTCAAATCTTGTGGATCTTGGGAATCCCTTTGAAAGTTGTGCATGTGACAAGGCTCTAGGTACGCAGTGCATAGACTTCCGATAAGTCACAACAGGCTTACATGTAAGTCTGCTGTAGTTCACTTATTAATCATCATTTTTTGCCTTCCTGATATGTTTGTGTCTTGCAAATCATGCTGCCTACTTCAACTGCAGTCTTCTGCCTTAGCCAGGGAAAGAACAGTAAACACAGCAGTTTGTCAGACACTGTAGATATTCTTCAAGTTAGCTTCTCTCGACCTTGGAAAAAAGCATGTATCATATTAGAGTTCTTCTGATGTATCATGGCTTTGGTAGATCTACTTTGATATTCTGCCTTCAGCAGTGACAAACATGAAGTGCTCTGTAGCAAGGGGTACTTCAGTTGCCTTGTTTGTTCAGTATTCTAAGTTGTTGCCACATGGAGTCCTCCTTTGGACCTTCAGGCAGTTGGTGTATACATTGGAGCAGGAGATTTAATTTAGCTCGTCACAGTTTGAGCTGGCATTCAATACAAACATTATTAATGGTCATAAAAATTACCCAACCTTTTTAAAATTCCAGTCACGCTATTTGACTCAATGACCTCCTGTGAAAGTCACTTGTGCAATCCGACTACGTATTGCAGAAAGAACTACCACGATAGCATCCTTGAATGTGAAATGTGAACTCTGTCTTAAAAGATATGCACTTCACTTCTCTGTAGAAGAACATTTAAAGTACGAGTTAGTATCTAATCAGAAATCATTATTATTATTTGTACTGTACCATTCCCTCAGGATTATGGAAGAGCCATCACACATAGTTATACAAACAGATTATACAAGGCAGTTTCTTCCCAAACAGTTGCATGGGTAAGCAGCAAAACCAGAAACTGAGAAAAGAATCACAGAGTTGTTTGGGTTGGAATGGGCCTTAAAGGTCATCTAGTTCCAACCCCCCCCCCCCCCCCCCGCCATGGGCAGGACACCTTCCACTAGACTAGGTTGCTCAAAGTCCATCCAACCTGGCCTTGAACACTGCCAGGGATGGGGCAGCCACAACTTCTCTGGACAGCCTGTGCCAATGCCTCACCACACGAGATGCCCAGTGAAATGAGTAAGTCCAGGAGGTACAGCAGAGTGGTGGATACAGGAAAAGGATTAGCTTATGTTTTGCAGAAACAATCCCATATACATTGGAGTTTGTTGCCTTTTCAGGAAAAACCTGTGTACAGGGCATCTTGATTCAGTCTCAGAATGTGTGTGTACATATAGCTATGTGTATGTGTTTTGCTGTGTGTATACTTTGTTAGCAAGAAGTGTGTATCTGTGTGTGTGAGTATATATACACGCAGACACACACATATATATGTGTTCTGTGAGTAATTTGCAACCGATGTATGATTCATAAAGCGAGTTGCAGGTTGAACCCACATAGTATCACAAAGTGCATAGGGTTAATAGTGGTTTTGATGATAGCTAATCTGTGTTATACCGCTTAGATAAACTTGAAAATGGATTATCCACCAGTTCTGTTCTTAAACCGTAGTGGAACAGCTTCCTTTGTACCCCTGGCCTGTTTAGGTATTACTAATAACAGCAACAAAAAAATTTTGTATTGTCATAAATACACACAAAATTATGACTTCTGCTTGAATCAGTCAATCGTTCTATCTTTAAATTGAGTTACTTGGATCTCTAGACCACTGTATGCTTTCAAAATACACAGCAGGTGGCACTATTAGTCTTAAATGTTAGAGGCCTCCACTTGCCTTACAGGTTGCTGAGGGGTGTTAGCCTTCAAGCCATTCTCTAGCACTGGCACACGAATTTCCTAACATTAATACAGGTTCTGAAAATTTATTACTGTGATCAGGTTTGTGTGAAAACTTGCCTTTAATTGAGCAAACGCCTGTCCAAAGCATCATCTATAAGTGATCTTAGTTTGATTGCCAAGTGAAGTCTGAAGTGCCATATTTCCCTTAAGTCTATTCTTCAGTCACACAATGGAAGTAATTCTTCATTTCCTTGAGGCAAAAAAATTGAGAATACTTCATAAGCAAAAAGCAGTGGCTTTTACAACTTGAAGTAAATGTTTATTGCACTTGACCTTGGTTGCAAAATCTCATCTAAAAAGGTGCAACTAATTTTATCTCACACTAATTAATTGGTGAGTAGGAAATTAGGTTTTATTAAAAAAAATGTTTGGAGGACCTGATAGGAATAATTGTTGATTTAAAGATAATTAAAAATGCTCATAGTGGTTAACTGACTGAATGCACTTCCTGTAACGCTGGATTTTACTGTACACCTGAGACCAAAGGTATATTATTTATGTTGTTCATATGCAGAATTATACACATGTCCAACGCTGTTCGTGCAGGTTACAAAGATAGAATACAAATATCTTAGATTTTAATTGGTACTGAGAAGGAAAATCAGAGTTACTGTGGCGGTCCCCTTTCTCTAGCTTTTTAGAGTGTTTGTTTTTCTTTTTTTAATATAATTTAAATGCAGTCTTGAAGCATTAGCAAGTGACTGTTTTATAGTTAGAAAATATAATGACAAAAAGAAAGGTAGAAACAGGTTGGCTGCTATTATTTGAGTTCCAGACAGTGTTAGTAGAATCAATAGTTACTTTTTAATGTGATTTTTTGATAAGAGCATATATATTTCTTTTGTTTGAAAGTGCAACTTCAAAGCTTGCCCCAGTTAGGGCTTAGTTTAAGTAGTTAAGAACACAGAACTTCCTGATGATGCAGGATTACTTTTTGGTGCCCTCTAAGTGTACATGCTGAGGAAGCTGGGGCTGTTCAGCCTGGAGAAGAGAAGGCTGCATGGAGACCTCATAGCAGCCTTCCAGTATCTGAAGGGGGCCTATAGGGATGCTGTGAAGGGACTCTTCATTAGGGACTGTAGCGACAGGACAAGGGGTAATGGGTTAAAACTTAAACAGGGGAAGTTTAGATTGGGTGTAAGGAGGAAACCCTTTCCTGTTAGGGTGATGAGGCACTGGAATGGGTTGCCCAGGGAGGTTGTGAATGCTCCATCCCTGGCAGTGTTCAAGACCAGGTTGGATGAGGCCTTGGGTGATATTCTTTAGTGTGAGGTGTCCCTGCTCATGGCAGGGGGGGTTGGAACTAGATGATCTTAAGGTCCTTTCCAACCCTAACTATTCTATGATTCTATGCTAATGGGATGAAGAAGCCTATAATGCAAGTTTTCAGTATGATCTTGAGATGTTTCTTCTGATCTGATTTTTCATGTGCTTTCAGACATACAGGGTTCAAATGTATCAGAGGGAGAGTGGCCCAGCTGTCCTTCAAGTCCCTTTGAAGGTTTGGTGAGCTTGGGTGATATGTAGCCTACACTCACATTTCCTTGATAGGATTCTCTTTTCCCCTTTTATCCCTTTGAGATCTTTAAATAAATATAATTAGACTCTGTGTGTGTGTATGTAGGTATATATCACTATATCTATATATCCAAAATAAATCAGGAATGTTATTTTAGCTGGTCTGAGAACGTTGTCTGGTTAGTACAGGTTGTAAAATGGCTTGCCAAATTTCTGTTCCTTGGATCCCCAAGGTTCCCAATAACGAGTGCAATACTACTGATCCAGCCCCTAGTGACTGGGAGGGCTTTTGCAGAACGCAGATGTGCTTTACTTCTAATACTTATCTGGCTTTGCATGTACTGGGAAGTTGGTGCTATCCAGTTCCCTTTGCAGAATCATGTTTGTGTTTTGTTGGGTTTTTTTAACCTTCTGGATGATAAATTTGGTCACACTGAAGTCACTGGATTCATCACCAATTGAATTGTGCTGGTTGTGAAGAGTTAAGTGCAGGAGGTGTTCTGTATGTGGGTTTTGTGCCTGGCTTAATCAGCATTTAAAAATCTCTGTTATTCTATCTTGACTCTGTTGTAAATAATCCTCAGATTTAATTATTTAAACAATTATTTAATCTGAGGATTAAATAATCTTCCTTTGGAGTGTTAGTTGCTGTGGTAAGTAAACGAAAATGCTGAAATGCTGAAATTTGCTTTGTTAGAGGGCTGCTCACTCTTGTTGGATGCCTGCATTGTTAGGACTGGAATCTCCCCCAGTGCAAACAGTTAGCATCCAAAATTTAAGGTCAGGAATTGTTGTTTGTTTTGTAGTTCTGCTGTGCTTGCCCACTGAGGACTTAGAGATTCACTTTTAGATGTGACGATGTGCAGAGACAAGTCTAAAAGGAAACTGAAGGTATTTACCAGTTAGAGATTTTAAATAAATGAAACCTGACATCTTCCCTTGCAGTTCCTCAGCCTTCCTTTATCATTTTCTGGTTTCTTAAATTAGTGTGACAAACAAGATAATTAGATTTACTCCATTTTGACCTCATAAAACTGTCCATTAAAAGAAGGTGAGAGGGAAAGGAATAGCCTTCAATAGTTGTCTTCAGGGATTTTTGTAAATTCATTGAAGCTTCCTTGATCCTACAGATGCCTTAAATTCCAGTTACTGGTCAGTGGAGTTTGTGTTTCTGCTACTACCTAAGTGTCTTTTCTACAGCAACTACTACTCTGACTGTTTCCTGTTCATAGAGTTATGATAATTAGAGTTCTTTACTGTGGGGGTGGCGAGGCACTGGAACAGGTTGCCCAAAGAAGTGGTAAATGCTCCATCCCTGGCAGTGTTCAGGGCCAGGGTGAACAGGGCATTGGGCAACATGGTTTAGTGTGAGGTGTCCCTGCCCAGTGGCAGAGGGGCTGGAACTAGATGAGCTTTAAGGTCCCTTCCAACCCAAATGATGCTATGATTCTATGATGGCTACAAC